GTATGGTTATGGCAGATGATACAAGAGTCTCCAGCTAACTGCACTCTGGGGTGAAGCAGGCCCAGCACTGCCTGGTGACAGAAGGGATTGTCCTGCTCTGCTTTGCCTGGTGCAGCCTCACTCAAGCACTTTGTACAGGTTTGGGCACCACAACATAAGAAGGACAAAAACCTATTAGAGAGGATCCAAAAGAGGACTACATAGGTGGTGGAGGGTCTAGAGGGCAAGACATGAGGAGTGGCTGAGGTGCTTGGTTTGTTCCTTTTGGTTGTGATCTTGCCTTGAGCAAGAGGTTAAAACAGAACCTTTTGGAGGTCCCTCCCAGCTGGCATTTCTGTGATGCATCACCTTGGGACACAGAGAATTTGGATACGTCCATGCCTAGGAGGGAGCTGAGAAGTTTGGCGTATCTTTATCTTTGATTCAGATGAAGAGAGATGAGACAATTGTGTCCTTTTCTTCAGACAAGTTTCTAGGGGCCTATGCATTATTTTCAAAGCAAGTTAAACAACTAAGTACTTGATAGCTTTCCACAAGACATAGCCTCAATCATATTTGAAAATGATTCTCGCTTTTTCTCTTTCTACAAACCAGACCCAAGATTTAGGCTATGAACTGAGTTTTAATGACATGGCTAATAGACTCAGCCTTGTGCTGATCAGGTGCTTTTCTCTGGAAAATTAGAGATTTCATGTTTTAAAATATCCCATATTCTGGTGGAGAGATGTACAAATATTCTGAACTTTGCTACTGAGATTAAGTTTATCTCACTGCGTTTGCTTAGCAAGCCTGCCTGGGTAATAATTACCCTGGCCAAATTTAATTCAGCAAAGGTTTCTTCTTTCTTCTTCTTTTTTTTATAAGAACGTTAGCATTTCTTTAGTAGGGGAAATAGAAAGCCACAGGGAATGAAATGAGAAGTCCCCCTGGGAATTCATTCAGCTCATATAGTCTGGGCATTTTCCACCAAATGAAAAAAAGAGAATGTAACTGTTCAGGACTCTGATGGTAGCAGAATGGGCAACTTGTATGAGAATTCACCCCACTTCAAATGTAAGCTGTCTTCTCTACGTATCGTCCCCTCCTTTAATATGAGATATGTCAATATGCTCCCAACTGCAGTCTTGGAGAGAAGTGGGCTATGGATTACTGCAGTCAAGGCTGGAAATGCAATCAGTGAACACTTGTTATTATAAATTTCTTAAAATTACCAATGATCAAAAATAAAACCTCTTTGTTTTGTCTGCAAGTGTTCTGTTGGTCTTGTGTTGTGTACTTGTAAGTAACTCAGCCACCCAAATTAGGCATATAAAATTCTGTGGGACAAAACCTGGTGGGCTTTTCTAGATCCTTTCTCGAGCTCTGGTCCCATTCGCTGTTTTAGTCTTGGTGGTTCTGTTTTGTTTCAAGCTGATGTGGGTCTTCCAGGCAAAGCGTGGGTCTGGGACATCTGCAGTGGCTGAGCTGTCAAGCTTCCTTGGAGCTGAGGACAACATCAGATGCTCCTTCAAGCTCCTAAGGTTGGATTCATCTTCCCTAATATGAAATGCTTCGGAACACCCTGTTCACATAGGCTTCTTTTGAAGAGGTTGGAGAGGGATAAGCAGCTCTGGGATACTCCTCATGATGTATTTTCTCGTATTTATCTCCTTTGGCTCAACTACACATCAGCTCAGATGCAGTCACTGCACTGCACATGGCTGGGGTCACCTGAGGAAGGTCCAAGGTGCCTCTCCACTGACTTAGCAGACACACATTCACTCCAGCCTGCACATGTAAATAAGTGAGAACTGGGCATCTGGCAGTGTCACTCTCATACCACCACAAAAAGGCCAAATATGCAGTGAGAAGGCAGAATGAAAGACTCATGAAGAGGAGAAGGCACGTGGGTGAAAAGTGGCAAAAAAAATGATAACTTTGGGAGATGTCAACAGGGACAGAGGAGATAAGAAGAAGCTGAGCCTGGGGTGTCTGAACCCTCAGAATGAGTGTTTGGAAGCAGCAACCTGGGATGCCTGGGGACATGCCATGGGGACAGTGTTGGGATTGGAGCCCAAGCACTAAGCTCAGCCTTGAGGGAAGGAACAGAGCCCAGAAAAGAGCTGCTGCTGGCCTTGCTTCTGATGCAGGATTTGAGAGAAATGCAGCTCCAAGGGCTGAGCTTTTACCCATAAGCTCCTTCACAAGTTACTGTGCAGTGTTTCAAGAGGCGTCTGGACGACGTGCTGCGTGATATGGCTTAGTGCAGGTGGTGGCAATGGTGATGAGGAGACAGTTGGACTAGATGATCTTGTAGGTCGTTTCCAACCTTGTGATTCTATGATTCTATGATTCTATGTCTTTTCTAGAGAAATGAGAGGAAAGGGATTTTAGTACTGGCCTCTGGTAACAGCTTTGGTTGATCGATTGCTGGTGCCACCAATCCATCCATCCATGTGAAAGCTCTTTCTGAAGCCAAGGTCATAGTGATGGAGCGTGAACTTCAGGCTGGGCTGCTAGAATTTAAATCTGAGTCCTGTTTTTCCTTAGGGGACAATGATGGTTTTGTGACCCAGTGTAACCCTACATCTGGGTTACACCAAAAACCACATTTACAAAGAACCATGAAGCATCTGCAGGAGGGAGCAAGCTAATCCTGCCAGCACACAGCCATGACTATTTGTGCCCATGCTGAAGACCCAGCATGCACAAACCAGAAACACCACTGGTATCGTTTCCAAGGGACATCATCATCTCTCCCCACTTCCTCCCCTTTCAGATGCACACATCCAGACCATAAACTGATTAGATTGTTGCTTTTACAATTAATCTTCTTGCAATTATTTTTTTTTTTAATGTTTGTATATGGATGCCACGTTGCTCCCGCCATAAAACATGGGACTTTCTCTGCCCCTGCACTGTAAATCGAGGTCTCTAAGTTGTAGAGCAATTTATCACTGACCATTGCCCAGTTTTATGTTAATGTTTGAACATGGCAATAAAGGAATTACATCATCTTACCTCTGACCAACTTTAGGGCAAAAGGTCCTTATAAAACCAAGCTGTGCATACCAGCAAGGCATCTTCTCTTGTGTTGGGAGCACAGCAAGCCTTCCATCATGAGCTTCACTGGAAAGTACGAGTTCCAGTCCCATGAAAACTTCGAGCCTTTCATGAAAGCCCTTGGTAAGTGCCTGTGTGCATTCTGTGCTGCTCTGCCTAAGCAGTTTCCACTGATATTTGGAATAGCCCAACTGTGCTGATGTGCTGCTGATGTAGACTGAAAGCGATCTGTCAGATTTCCTATTTCTGTCTGTTACTCTGCAGTTGTTGTTTTCTAAATAAGTGTGCATGGAGATATGGCCTCAAAATAGAAGGGAAAGCGTCACTCTCAGTGATGGCCTGAGGTCAAGTGATGCTGGGTGTAATTTTACAGCTTGCAGGAGAGTCCCAGCAGTCCTGCAGCCGTGTGCCAGCAGGCCGGGAGCTGCAACACGTGCTAAACCAGCAGGACCTTGCTAGCTTCACTCAGTGGTAGATCTGTCCCATCAGATTGTGAAATGTCAGAGTAAGCAGGACACTGCTCACCACTGCACAGCTCCAGATTCTACCATTCATCAGAGAAATAGTCAGGTTGTCTAAATGCTTAGTGATGAATGTGTCTGGCTTGATTTCCAGCAGGGATTCAGGAAGGGCTGCACTACCTCTGCATAGCTGTGTGCAGGAGGGGCTCTGTCTGCCAGATCAGCTTCATGCTGATGGGACTCTGAATCTCATGTAAAAGAAAAGAAAGGTTTCCTCCTTCTTCCTTGATTTATCCCATTTTCTCTGCTTGCTTTTCAGTGAGGGAAGGAAAACTTCCTTCTTGGCTGGTGAGATAGCTGTTCTACTTCTAGACAACTTCCTTGAACAAGGGAGAACTCTAGTTCCCACACAAAACCCAGGAGGACATTATCTTTTATTACTCCTTCCCACTGGAGTCTTGTGGTCATTGAGGAACTGCCATCATTGAGAGCCTCTTCCACAATAGAGTAGAAATCCTCCAAGCTGTGTGCCCTCAGATTCCATTGCATTCATTAGGCAGCAGCAGTGCACCCAGTGATGACTACAATGTCTTTCTAACATCTCTTGTTCCTGCACAGGGCTTCCTGATGATCATATCCAGAAGGGTAAGGACTTGAAGAGTGTTTCAGAAATTGTGCAGAATGGGAATAAGTTCAAGATTACTTTTACTGCTGGCCCCAAAGTAATGACCAATGAGTTCACCATTGGGGAGGAGTGTGAGATGGATCTGCCGACAGGAGAGAAGGTCAAGGTGAGACATCAGATCCCTCTCTGTCCAAGCCAAGGGGTTGAGGGACATTGCATCTCACAGATTCATACATTTATGGAATCATTTGAGTCAGAACGGACACTTAAAGGCTATCCAGCCCAACTCCCCTGCAATGAACAGGGACACCTACAGCCAGATCAGGGTGCTCAGAGCCCTGTCCAGCCTGACCTTAAATGTCTCCTAGGATGAGGCAACCACCACATCTCTGGGCAACCTGTTCCATTCCAGTCACCCCCTGCACATGGGCTAAAGGGAATAACCACATCAAGGGAATTAAATCTAAAGTGTTAGATGTAGAGGGCAAGAGCTGGGTAATTCCCTGGACCAATTCTGCCTCTTGCAGTTTGCATGTGTGATTTAGTGCATTGGGAAGGGTTTAATTGCTGAAACCAAGCCTGCAGGTGTGACACTCAGTGCCCTGCTCCTTGTAGGCCCTCTGCAAATCTCTTAAAAATAAATTTCTGAAAGTGATAGTGCACTGCTGTGTGACCTTCTGACAAACTCAGAGCCTGGTTCTCTGAGGTTTCCACCTCCCCTCTGCTTCTATAAGGCACCATACATCCTCCCCTCTCTTCATCTGCAGCATCTCTGTAGATGAAGCTCTGTATTTTTAAAGTTATTTCATTGGAAATATAGAAAGCCAATATTTTAATAGCCACTTTGGAAAAGGAGGACAGAGAGGCTTTGGTAAATTCTTCTGACTGCAAACCTTTCTGACTGAAAAGTTTGAAGTGAAAAGAGGTTTATTTTGTCATGCTGCAAAACAAAACATACTCTCCCTTCATTTTGTTGACTTAAAGGTAGCACAAGAAAGTCAACCAATGAATCATAAACCAATAAACCTGTCCTTTTAAGTCCCAGAGGCTGTTAGCTTGTCTGCCAGCCTTTTGCACTGCTGCTGTTCACACTGGGTGAGACGATTTGGCAGGATGAGGATTTATGACTCTGGAAACTCCAGTTCCTCAGCTCCAGTTCCTGGACAATACTTTTCAGTGATTCATGAAATGTCAAGATGGCACCACTGGCAAATATTTCATCGCAGCTCTACACCGGGAGAAGTTGATACTGCAGGGACTATTGAAAGCAGGAGGAACGATCACTAAAGACATGCCCCAATGAGCTGGGCTCTGAGAGTAGTATTTGCCTTGTGTGGTTTCTACCATCCCTGAAGGCCCATGAACAGAAACCAGGGGTTAGGAAAAAAGTTTTACCTTCCATAAATCAGCAGCTTGAGGGCAGATGAAGATGTTGTGCAGATGGACAAACAGGTGAACAGAAATTGATTTTGCTGTGTTATTTCTCTGAGTAATTTCAACAATCAATCAAGGCTGCCCTGAGGGCATCAGTGCTGTCTGAAGCCTTTATAGACATGTAGTTCCTGGGGGGCAGAAACTCAACATACATACCAATTCAGCTGAGACCTTTCCAGAAAAATTGTATCTCTTTCATAGAGGTTTGCAGTGCCCAAAGTAAACACCCATACTCTTGCTGTGTTGTGGGCATCACCAGCACAACAATCCCTCCTCTTGGGAAAGCTACATCACCGGGGAGCAGCTTGCTCCCAGCAGTTTCAGAGGAGACAGTAGCAGCTCAGTACAGAAGGGGAAGGACAAAATGCAGGGGGTGTGCAGTGCTAACATTAATGCCTTTGTCTCTTCCCTTCTTACCAGTGTGTTGTTAACATGGAAGGTAACAACAAACTGGTTACTAACCTGAAGGGGCTGAAATCCGTGACCGAACTGAACGGAGACACCATCATCCATGTAAGTGGAGAAGAGAAGGGCAACGACCAGATTAACAGTGCAGACAGCTGCCTTCAGGGGTCCAAGGGGGGCCAGGCACTGAAAAGCCTACAGTGATGCTGGAGACCTTAAACAGATGCTGGAGATGAGCACATGCATGCATTCAGGCTCTGTAGCCAAAGCAGATCAGTTGACCAGGCAATGAAGGCATTGTTTTTGAAACAGTCTGATTCACTAAGTGCTGCCCTCTGAGATCCTACCAGGCACTGCTGATCAAAGTTACATGTAATGAGGGCATGTTTTCAGCCATATTTATAGGTTTAGGGTGGGGCCTGGCACCTGTAAAGAGGAAATGTACAATTCTGATTCCAGTCAGTGTCAGATTATCCTTATCTGTGTTGGGGTACTCATGAATATATCCCAAGCTTTAATAATTTGATTTATAGATGATTAGATGGAGATCAGTCCTGTGCTGATTTGCAAGACCAGATCTTTTCCAAGTAGGGTTTGGAGCCAAGTGCAATGCAAAGCTAACAATTTCTATTGTTTTTCAGACCATGACAAAGGGAGACCTCACCTACAAGAGAATCAGCAAGAGAGTCTAGAGACCCTGCACAAACTTATCATTTTACTGTGTAGAATGAGTTCCGTTAAAGTAAAATTTGTATGAAAACATCTTCATAATAAACCTCTTTGCTGTTGCTATAAAAAAGTGCAAGCCTCCAAAACTCACAAAAACCCTGGAAAAAAAACTGGGCAGCAGGCTGAGCCAAGCCATCGTGAGACCCTCTGTGTTGCTGCTTGTCAGCCCCATTCTGAGATTCAGGCACTACTGTCCTTCTTGGGACGTACTGCTGGGTTGTGCACAGCTGGGTGGATGGAAAAGTACTGTGCCAAGACCAGAGAAAGGGTTCTGTCCCCTTCCTTAAAGACTTGGCCGAAGTGACATCAAAGTGATTGGCAGGGCCAAAGAACGAGGTGGTTGAGCGTGGCAGATGTTGGTGAACCTGCCTGGAAAGCTGCCTTGGGGCAGAGACCAGCACTGGGGGAGTTGAGGCATCCCAGCAGCCATCCCTATGCTCACTTATTCAAAAGAGGAGCCAGACCTACAGGCTCTGGCCACCCCATCACCGCCTCTCCCCCATCCTTTCCAACCAGCAAAGGGCACCAGGCAGACTTTAGGTGTTCAGTTTTGCCACGAACTTTGCCTGATAAATTGGGTTACTGGATATAAGCTCTGGAGTGAAATACAGTTTTTCTCTGCTTAGAGGTCAGCACTGGTTATTCATAGCGCAGACACAGGAGCACCATGGTTAACTTCAACGCTTGGTGCTGCAGGCTGGATGGTTTTCTGGTTTTCTGAAATCAGGAGAGAGGAAATTCTCCCTTCTTAGCTGACTTTTCCAAGCTCTATGCTTGAAAGCTAATTGGGATTTTTTGCTGGGAAATGAGTGTACTGCTTGTGTAATATACCTACCTAGGATGATGTTCTCACAACAATTCAAAGCTATAAAAGTGTTAGGAAAACAGCACCAGTGCCTCCCTATCTCCTACAATTCCAATGTGTGCTGTTAAAGGACTAATTTGTCCTCGTGTGCATCTCTGCCATAATTTCCCCATCAAAGAAGGTTTTCAAGCTGCAGATTGGCATTGATCTTCATGTTAGGAACTAAACCAATAGAGATTGTCACAGTTGAGGTCAGATAGGTACCTCCTTGACAAGTGGAAGGATCTAGTTCAACATCTAAAGAGCTGAAGTTTGTGTCCAGCAAACTCATCTTAGAACTGGAGGATCACCACCAAAATCTCTGAGAAATGTCAAGAGGAAAAAGCCTGGTTTTGTTTTCTTGCTATTCTTGCTATTTTGCTGAGGAGCTGGTAGGGGATTTTTGAATAATCAGTCCTTTTTCATCTCTTTGTTATCAATGAAGATCTGGAGCAAATAATTTGGATTTACAGATGGGCAGACAGCAAAGTTTTTTTGTTATTTGGAAATCCATCCATTGCCATTAGACTTTTCCTTCTCTCCATTCAGGCTCGGTGCAAAATTGATTAAGCACCTAAGATGAAGAACTGGTACAGGTAAGCATCAGAGCCCCCAGCTCTGAGCAAAGGGGGTTCCCCTCCTGGAGAACTGCCTGTTCAGTAAAAACAATCCACACAGCCACTGCACCACACTACTGCGAATGGCATCTGGCATGGACTTATCTCACGTCCATTTGCTGCCACCACTGTGGACATTGTGTGATTTTTAACAAACTAACTTCTCTTAACTAATGTATCTTTAGACACGAATCCCATTTAGTCACCCAGTCACTGTGGTCAGAGTCCACACAGGTTGATATTACACCCACGTCACCTGCAGAACCATCGTTCATCAGTTTTTCATCAGCAAAAGATCACTTTACTCAAAATATCATCTCTATTTCTTAGTTGCTTTGCACTTGATGCCCACAGGCATACAAGACACTTCTTGGAACCAGCTTCCCACTTATACTGTCTGTTGGTCAACCACACATAGATATCACTAGCAAGAAGTGATGTCATCACAAGGAAGTGATGGAAAAAAATCAGGACAGAGCCAATTAAAAATTTAACTGAGGACTGCAGGACTTGCCCAGAGAGAAACTGGCTTTCAATAAGAACGTAAATAATTTTATAGCAGGTTTCTTGCTTTGATTTTTTAATGCTTGTGGTAGAAAATGATGTTGCTTTTGCCAAGAGATTTTCTGCTGTGAGCTCTCAGGAGATTTTCAGGACTATCCCCGCTGGTCCATGCTCTCAGACTGGTGGCACTGGAAACAATCCTTGGGGATGTATCACATTCACATATCACATTCCCCATGTCTGGAGGTCCCACGGGTGGTGTTACCTAACAGGCATGACTTTGTGTCAAGCTCAATATTTATTCCTTCTTGTGGAAGAGGCTCGGTGGGGCCTCATTGCTGGGTTCAGGCATGACTTGAATCTTTTGGTTTTTGAGGGCAGCTTCCCTCATCTTGTAGTACATGAACTCATTCTGCTGGAACATGCGCAGCTCCATCTCTGTCTGGACACGCATGACCTGAGAGACACAACAGATTAAAGACCTGTGATGCAGGAGATCTCAAAGCCAGTGAAAAACACACTGCCTAAAAATGAGGACTGTCCATCAGGGATGTTCTAAGCCATGTAATGACTCTGATTCTTCTTGCTCCAGGTGTCCCAGCAGCAGGACCAAGGCTGACTGGACAGAAATAGCATTTACTTTCTCAGAGCTGGTTGCCTGTGACCTATGAAGGTGAGTAAGGCATCAGCCCCTTCCTGCACCCAGCCCTTCTGCAGGCTCCTGGAAAACCTCATCCCTGGATTCACTATGAACAATCATTTATAGTGCTGCATTATGACAAAAGTTCAGAAGGGATTTAAGGAAATCTTTTTACACCTGTCTGTAAGTTCCTTCAACCTTTAGTTTAGCAGCACAGAGGTCAAAGATCTAGTATTCTCATCCTGAAGAAAGTGAAAAGGGAAATACAGGAATGAAGGTGCTGTAGTCTTACCCTATGAGATGTAAAGAGGCGAACAGTCAAGAGACTATTCTACTTTAGGCACAAGACAGTCATTCTTCTGATAATATAAAATTGCACTAAGATTATAGCTCTGCTGTTAGGGGGACTAACATCAATAAAGGATTTAATTTGGCACTGTGTAAGTTTTTTTTGGCTGCTAAAGGAGAATACTATAAAGCCAACAGGCCATTTGAGAGAGTTAAAGGATAAAGAAATGATCAGCCCTCAGATGCAGTCATATATAGTTCATCACAGCTCAACATGTGTGATTCTCCTGGGATCTGCAGCTCTTGACCTTAAGCTAAAAAATACACATATCAGTCATTTGAGAAAAAAAATAAACTGCAGTCCAAAAGGACTAGGGAGTGGTAAATAAAGAAGAATGGTCATCAATACAAGATGAGGAATATTGGTTGGTAAGCCAGAAACAAGTTCACCATCTGTAATTTGATACAGCCAAATTGAATGCCATCCATCTGAGAGCAATGAGGTCAGGCTGTTTGAAGAATGGGAGGCTCTGCCCTTGGGCTCAGTGTTTCAAAAAAAGATTCAGGGACTCAGTGGCTATTTTTAAAGCATGTACTGGTGCAGAACAAAAGATATTTTCCAGGGATGAAAATTTCCCATAGGAAGGAATGTGCACGATCCAGCAGACTAAAATGACCTAGAGAAAAGGATGGCACTAGTAAGAAGCAGCCATAACTTGACCTGTCTCTTACAGATGGGCCGTTCCTACAGACTGAATGCAACCTCACCCAGGCAGATAACAGAGGCAAGAAGGGAGATTGTGACACCTACCTCCAGGTCTTTGGTAATTGGGTGGGAAGGTCCATGGGTTATCAGGAGAATGGCATAGGCTTTACAGATCATGCTGTGTCCAGCTTCAATGAGGCCAGCATGCCAGTGGGTCACTCCTGCTCGCATCACAGCCATCCCCAGCTGTGCGTTGTTAGGATGGTATATTTTCCTGGAAAAGCATTGAGTAATTTTAGTTCAGGAAAGATCTCAATTCCCAAATGTTTGTCAGTGATGTGACATGTTTTCCAGAGAGCAAACTGTTTACTCAGTTGAATATTCTATTGAATTTGTTGCCAGGAAATGTGCAGCCCCGCTAGGGGCATGAGGGCATGGGTTACACAAGGACACAAGGTGTTGTGAAAGAGAATGAACAACCTGCAGACAGTGTGAGCTGAACAACTGGGTTGGAGACCTGATCATGCAGCCCAGATGTCACCAACATCACAGGTATAATGATGTGCCTAAATTGAAAAGGCAACAATCATCAACATCTCATTAACTAAGGCCTCATTACTCAACCATATTACTCAAGAGTGAAGGGATATCTTGAGTGACAGTCATTTGACACAGCTCCTCTTTTCTCTGCAACTTATCTTTCCTGCAGGTTGCACAAGAGCAGACCAGGTCCTGCAGCGATGATCTCTCTGTCCCACACTCAGGCTCTGTGCTTTGCTACTAGGGCAGCCCTGAGATGCTTCTGAGCAAACCAAAGAGGCTAATGAAAGATAACCCAAACTACTTGTCATTTACAGTTAAGTAATTCAAGGTGTTTGAAAGCATTTAGGAATGGGTTCCTCTCTGTCTGGTGATCAGATCAAGATCTGAATGCCAGCACTTTCGTTCCGATGGGAGCAGACTAAGAAAATAACTTCTATAACACATTGCCTAACACTGCATAACCAGAGAGAGCTGCCAAAAACAGAGCAGAGCCATACATGTAGCCATCCACCATCCTCTTGGCATATTCAGCTGCTTCCTCAAACATCTGGAGGTAGGAGAGGACCTCAGAGGCAATGCTGAGGATCCTCAGGAGGTAGATGTTTGTGTCTCCCAGCACAGGCTCCTGTTTCTTCAGGCATTCACGGCACAGCTTCACAACCTACATCAGAAAGCAGGGAGAAGGAGGAGAAAGTCATAGCACCACCGGCCCTGAAGCTGCCACTCCTGAGCCTTGTGTGGTCCACACCAGTCCTAGAGGCCAAGTCAGACTGCATGAAGCCTGGAGAAGATACAATATGCTTTTATATGTCCATAGCATCAGTCTAACTAAATGATTTGTGCTCAAATCTTCCTCTACCAGGGTTACTTTCAGAAAGTAAGCAAGGAAGAAGTGATTATGCCCCTCCTGCCATCCACCCAACCTCCTAGAAGCACCTTGATGCAAAGAATGCTCCTAATCTCCCTGTGAAGGTGAAGATGTGAACAGTCCCATTTCCACTTGCTTGTGTGTGTCAGCTTTTGTGATCTGAACTGCCAAGAGGACAGGATGTACGTGGAGACATTAAGTTTGTGGAGATGGAACTTTGTTTCACCTATACATCTTTGACTTAGGGGGGACAAGACCTAATTTCCTTGGCACCACCTACACAGCAAGAGAGCAAGAGCACAGGGACTCACTTCATGGTAAGTTCCCTCCAGGCGGGCCTTGTTGATCTTCTCCAGCATGTCCTTGGAGAACTGGATAACTTCCTTCACTGTCTCTGCAGAAGGCTGGGGACAAAGTTAGGAAAATTGGTGAGAAGTATCCACCACCTGACATCCAGGCACTATACACATCCAAGCATGCCTGATGAAACACTAACCAGCCCCTAATTAGCCACCTCCTCTTCCTCCATTTATTGCTGAAATATAATACAATTATATTCAGTACCATCACTTATCCTCTGCTTTTCCAAGCTATTTGAATTTGCGTTTTCAAACAGTTCTAGCTATCACAGCCTTCCTTTTGATGAATGGAAAATCTGAAATCAGGCCACAACTGCCTGGTTCTGGGAACTTGCAGGAAGAGCCTGGCCAGGAGATACACGACCAAGAGAGAATACAGGCACATGGCCAACAGACAGCAGAGACGCAGAGATGCAATGAAGAATGAAGAGACTGGGATTTGTAGAGCAGGACAGCTCCACTGCCTTTTTACTTGGTTGATGGGATTTGTGAGGAGTCTGAGATTTAACAAGCTCAGAAAAGCTCTTGAAAATTTAGTATGGAAGGAAAAACAGTTGCATTTCAGAGCTACATGTCCCATATGTACATGGTTATGTATGTTATGAATTATTATTACATATTATTAGACTGAAACTGTTACAGCTGGTCAGATTTCAGCAGCTGTCTGAGCAGCACACAGGGTGTCCTAATGGCAAGAGCACATTCATTCAAAGGCAATGTTAATGTCACTCTGCTGTCTGAGAAAAGACTCCCAGAACAGGCACTTCAGCAGCACTGCCACAGAAGCTTTATCTAATAAAATTCTCTCCTGCGTTTACTAGACCCCTAATCCTGTTGCCATTATAAACAATGGGAGCTTTGCTACTATTTGGAAGGGGTGATGGACCAGAGGCCAGAGCGGCTGTTGAGGATGTAATCTGTCCATCTCATGTTTATTCATAGAGCTTTTTCCACACAGCTGTGAGTGCTGCTGCTGTCAGGCAAGCGAGCCTGAATTCAGGGAATGCAATACAGCCGATGTGCTCTGAGGGTGAGGTCAGCCTGGATACTCATTGTCTGTGGATGGAGGGCATTTATAATAGCTGAAATCATATCTTGTATAAAGATACCAGGAGGCTTCTTCTATGCCAGCAATTCAAACAGGGGAGTGTATATCCCCCAAAGTGCACACAGCAGAACATATGGAGCGTTCACAATACAGAGATGGTGCGTGTCAATGCTTGACAGCAGGCTTTGAATAAGAGATGAGATTTTTTATGCAGCCCACTGCAGGAGCAATTTGAAAATTCTTCTTCTGCATCTGGGACTGGGAGCTTCAGTAGCCAGGATTAGTTTTAAAATGAAGCTTGATAGTTTAGCAATGGGAATTATTTAGCAATATCTTTTGCAACAATTTATCTTTTGTAGAGCTTACAGGAATAGAATGCCCCTTAGCTAACACTGACACAGAAGAAAAATAGATTTAAACAATTATATCCTTGGGCACAGGAATAAAAAAAAGAAGATCTTAGAGCTATCGACGTGCTCTGAAAATAGGAGCTGCTGGCCAAGCAACACATCCTAATGCTGACAGCCAGACACAGCCTTACATCCTTCTACTCGATAACTTGTCAGATTGCCCAGCAAAACACAGAGAACTGAAAAATGAATGGTCCAACACACTAATTCTTCCCACCCAAGCAACCAGGCACAAATGGCAGAGCATAGAACAAATTCATTCTCACCAGCCAGTGCAAGGACGGCCTGATGACTGGATTCCCAGCTTCCCAGAGCCAACACAATGGTACATCTTTACAAACTGTACAGTGTACGTAGTGCCAGTTGGTCCTGTTCTCATGGACTATTATATGTATATACATAATATATGACACAGTATTTTCTATTCTGCTGTTGTTCAAAATTTTGATTCCATTCAGTTCCTGTCAAAAAGTCCAATCTAAATACCTGGATTTTTCTCAGTTCTAGACCTCATTTTCTAATATTTTATCATTCTGCCTGTTGCTGGACTGTTAGGTTAGAGTTAAAGGCAACGTTTGTGGGCTTTTTAGAAATGAAAACCTGTGTGCCTGTCATATAATAGAGATTAAACTGACCATGCATGTTTGAGTTGGTGTTGGGCTCAATAATGTTTCAGTCCTGGTCTCATTTTTTGCATTGGCACTGTTCAGACTGCCACAGTCTGACTCTGGCACTGTTGGGTGTCCCTGGGCTGTGGAGGAGACACGGCCAGCTCTGTTTGAGAGCACCACAGGACCATACCTTGTTGTCCCCCTCCTTCACTGCCAGCATCAGGTCATCTTTGATCTTTTTCTTGCAGTGCTCACAGGTGCAGTCAAAGTAATACTGCTTCTTCAGCTGCTTCTGCCGCTCCTCACTCACATTGAGGAAGTCCACATAGGACACAGTCAGCTCATCTCCTGGGGAGATCTTGCTTAGTGCCCGCAGCTCAATCCTGGGTGCAAAGAAGACGAGATATGGAATTGAAGAAGCAAATGCAGCCATAGATACATCAGGGACAAATCCTGCTATCAGAATCAGCCCTTGCCCTAAGCTACTGCTTTAGCAATGCAGAGATGTGCAGCAGCCTGGTTAACTGAACAGTCACATCAGTTTGTCCTGCCCCCATGCCAGTCTCTGGCTGGGATATGCTGAAAAGCAGAGAGAGTCCCATCCTGGGTGAATAATGGAATGAACCCAGACCTAAAATCTTATTATGCTGGAGAGAATCTCACCACAAGAAAACCCCTCAATCAGAAGTACATGACAAGGCTTGTAAAATGCTGAGTTTGGACTTTGGGTCTTTTTTAAGCACAGCTTGCATACTGCTTGTAGAGATCTGGCTAGACTCCCAGATCCTCAGCTGGGCTGCTTTCAGTATCATTTTCACTCTGAAAAGTTGAGATGTGCCCTTTGGATGTAGGATAAGAGATGTCCCAATCCGTTTCATGCATCTCTACATAAAGCCTTAGAAACAGTTGACCATGAATAGTTTATTTTCTATATAGACCATCTGAGCTGATGCCTAATGCCAATATCAAACACAGGGAAATCACCATTCTGTTACTAACCTAAAACCCAGGGTAAATGCTTGCACTGACGACAGGCCTCTGGAAAGCCTGTTTTTTGTACCTACCTTTATCTCAGGCCTTTCTCTGTAAGACATCTTAAATGATGTGGACACACAAATTTCCTTGCTGTTTAACTCCAGCAAGATAAATATCTTAGTTCCTCTGGGCCGTCCCTCCATCAAAGGGTCTGGATAAGCACCATGTTGCCTCCTTTAGGTCTCACCATGAAGCCATCACGTTTGTATCAGGTCAACTCTGTGTTTTAGAAGAAAGCTCCTGGGGGATGCTCCTGGGTGGTGAGGCACTGGCACAGGCTGCCCAGGGACCTGTAGTGTCCCATCCCTGGAGGTGCTCAAGGCCGGGTTGGATGGGGGCCCTGGGCAGCCTGATGTAGTGAGGGTCAACCAGCCCACGGCAGGGGTTGGAATTGGACAGGCTTTAATGTCACTTCCAATCAAGCCATTCTGTGATTTTATGTCAAAATGTCTCACCAGGAGAGGGAGCTGATGGCTGGAGCACTATAGGCAGGCTGGTAGCTAAAAGCTCTCTGTGTCCTTAGCTTTGCAAAAGCTGCTGTGAAAACTACACACTGAGGCTGGTCTTGACTTTCTCTGGGCATTAGATCATATCAACAGCATATTTCATACTAAATTTATCACTGAACGTGTCATCATAATGAAGGGTAGCTGTTAGACCTGCCAGAACATAGAAAAATGCCAACCAGAGAAAGGTACAACCAGCTACTCCAGGAAAAAGCACACAAAAAGGAGTCATTTCCACCAGAAAGGTTTACACATAGAAACATTCCTCTTCACACTTAACACGATCCTCATTAAAATGAGTCATGCAACCAAAAAAGCAAGCCTTTGACTTTTATGATGCCTCTGATAGCCTAACTACCATAGGTATATTTTAAGCAGTCATCTGTGGTGATGAGGGGATTGATAACATTTCAAACAAGCCTGGACACACGTGGTATATTTTAAATCTACAGTTAGAGAGACACTGTCAGCTGATAACCTCACCAAGCACATCCTGTGCTCTTTCCCTCCCTAGTGTCTGCCCCAGGCTCCAAGGACCTTGAAAGACGTACACAGAAAGCACTGGGGAGCTTAAAACTCAAATGGTCCAGAAACAGCAACTCTAATCAGGAGTAAAACCCAGTTGCTCACTTTTATGGTACTATCTGTGATGCTCTGAGTCAATGGTAAAGAAGTTTTTCATCTCTTATTTCAGGAAATTTCCTGGGTTTTTTTTTTGGAAATGAAGTTTGAAAACAACAGTGTCCCTGTAACTGGACTGCATACAACATACCAAGTGTATGAGCTGACATAAAGAATTTTCCTTCTTTTTTTGGCATACTTTTCAGGGATTTCTCAGGCAAAAGAGAATGCTCACATCAGGTAACAGTGGCATCATTAAAAAGTAAAACATTAATCATGTACTATGATAAAAAAAGGATAAAACCTACATCTCACAGTGTTGCTATTGTAGACAATGCATTCACAGGGCACTGTTTGTTGCAGAAGAGACATGGACTATTTAGTATGTCAGTAATGCGACCATTTCTCATCTCGTAGTATGCAAGGTTTTATTTTGGGCTGTGTAAGATTAGCAAGACCTTGTTCTGACTTTCATGCTCTAGCTGCACTTGGGGGGGAGAAATGAGAAGTGGAGGGGAAATACTGAAACAGAGGAAGCCATGGGAGAGGGCAGAAAGGAAGGAAGGGAATTTGCAGTCAGGGAGACATTACTGCTATGGTTTTAATTTACTACAAAATGCAGAGTTAAGTGAGGTTTGGGTTTAGTGGGGCTTTACACAGAAAGGAGTAGAAGTTCAGAAAACAGAAAGTGAAGTTTTCTGCAAACAGAGGGTTTTTGGAACCCCTCGGTGCTGTTTGCAGCTGTGTCATTAACGGGGCATGAGGGGTACATGGCAAGGGGAAGGACAAGGCTTTCAAGAGTGACCCACCTCATCTGTGTGTGGAACATTGATCTTACAGCCTCATGACTGAAAGACAAAACAGACATCTGCAGATTACACCGGTACAAGCACAACAACAGAAACTGGGTGAACTGGGTTGGTTGGGGGCACTGGAGCTCCCGATGCCTGTCACATAACAGTCAGCATAAAGGTACAAAGAGCTCTGCTGTCCCTGTACAGCTACCAAATCACGCATCACTGGCTTGCAGTGGCTTCAGGGACAGCTGTCCTGACACTGTGATTTTAAGAGCGCTGTCAGCCAGTGGATGAGTAAAATGCTCTGCTGACATTTTGCAGGGCTGGTTTTGTGCTGACCAGAAACATCTCTCTGACATCAGTAGTCATGCTCTCCAAAATGCAGCTTGAAATGGGAATTAGACTGGGATATCAGCAACCATGCTCTGTAATGAGTTTAGTGGGTCCTCAAGCCCAGCATTGTGCCTCGAGTGCTGAGAGCTCAGTTCCTGCAACAGTAGCTGCTCTTATCTCCAGTTTTCCTAGAAAAGAAACCTGGATAATTTACCTGGCCAATTAGCTAATGTAAGCAGATTTATAGTCATGGTCATGGTTTAAAGCCAGCAAGAGGATTCGTGCAGGAAATTCATCAGGCTGCCACACAAGCAAAATGTCATTCCTCTACTTACCACCCAGAATCTCAGGTTTGGGGGCTACTACCCCTTCCAGCTACCTTCTCCAGCACCCAGGCTGGTCTGAGAGGCTCCTTGTCACCCTGTATGTGACCTATAGCAACTGGCTATAGAGCTCAGGCTCCAGCTGGCTCTGGATCACAAAGGTAACCATCCTAAAGCACTTATCTTTTTCTCTTTGCTTATTCCCCAGCTGCTTGATAATACTGGTATCATTTTAGCAGGTAAAACTGGCAGTGAGAACTGGAGTGCACAAGCAATGCGTTAAAGGAGAGGAGGCTGTGGGCTTACCTTAGGCTCAGCACTGATATTTGCTGAACATAGGAATGTATAAAATCTTAAGATTGAGCAGAAAACATTGATAAAACACCGAGGCTGTGGAGGTTTTGGCAAGCAGTTTCCTTCAGTTAATGTCTTGCACATAATGCTGCTTGCTGGATCAGCATCAGTTTAGGCTCCTCCTGGCTTAGGAGGAGTTGGAGGGCAGAGCATCCCTCCAGCAGCTAGGCACTGAGAGCAGCTGCCTCCACTGCCTGCTCTGCTGGGACATTCCTGCAATCCCACTGTGCCTTTCAACCTCTTCTTATCTCACACATCCTGCAGATATTTTCTTGCAGGATTCGGGTGGGAAATCGGAAGGCATAGCACTTTAGGGCATCCAGCTCTTGCATGTGACTCTGTTTACAGATAACAGTCACATTTCTCATTAAGAATCCATTGCTAAAGAGTTTATCAGTAATTAATAGAGACTGCAAGCTCCCAAAGAGATCAGCATTTGTGTTAAGGATGGCCATAAACACATCAGTGATAGTGATACATGGCTGATTGCAAGCTTCAGTTATGAGAAACTCCTGGACTGTGGACTCAATTTAATCTTGAATAATTCATTAACTGTAAGTACTCCTTAACTGCTTATGAAGCCTTAATTGAAGCTATCTAGGTATCTACTTGCCACCCTATCTGTCTATTTTGAGTATGATTTCAAAACTCACAAGGGAAATTTACTTGCTGGTTCATTGGATTTGAGGTCAAACCCTGCTGAAAAGCTCTGTGTATTTGTTTGGTCTATCAGACAGCATTTTTTTAAATAACAAGAGAAAAAAATAGCTCTTCTTTAAAAAGAAAACCATAACTTTTTGTTGCTGCACTAGAGAAGGAAATGAGCATCGATTTTCTGGGACAGGGATCTGACACTCTGAGGTTAGCAATCTGTTATGTGCATCGGCTGCAAGGATAGGTCCCCACTGTGCTTGAGGAAAGCAACGCACTGCACTCACTTGCCATTGTTGAAGATGACAGTACAGTTGGGCCAGCAGTCGTGGTTGGCCTGGCAGAGGTTGGGGAAGATTCCCACACCAACAGCTTGCAGTCCTCTTTGGTCACTGAGGGTAAAGGCATTGCAGTTGATCTAGTCCCAAAAACACAGGCAGGAAGAAGCACGAAAGGAGAAAAAGTTGAATTCAGTTACATTCAGGATTTCTCAGCTGCTTCTGATTGTTTAGAAGAGGCACAGCTTGGTATCCCACCTCCAAACTTTAAGGAGAAAGGAGAAGTGCCTACAAGATTATTGTAGGAGGTAATTCTAGAAATGATAGTTGGTGAAGGTGCGCTGGTCTCTTGTATGGATGGCTCCCTGTGCGCAGTGGATTTGCTCTGCTGGGATGCTGTGTGTCCCTGGGGGAAGTTGATGTTCCATGGGGTTAACGAAGCCTGACATGCACTGACTCACAGCAGGGCTGGGGGCAGAGCTGCTCAGCCTCAAGGACTTTCTGCACCACAAAAATTTGTAGTTAACATTTTAGGAAAGGGTATTATGAAATCTTTTCAGTATACTTTACCTATTATGTGTATATATATGTAAATATATATTAAAAAAATGTAACATGTAATATTGTAACAGAATAATGCGTAAACTAAAATAGATCTGCTACATTCTCATATATTCTGTTTGAAATATGTTTACTAAAAATATGTTTATACATTTTTTCTTAGCTCCAGGTGCAGAGTGATGCCCAATTGGACTTGTGGTGACCACGCAGCACCTGAGATTGAGAGAGCCATTTGCCTGCATGCTTAGACAGACTGCAGACCTTTTCCTGGCTGTGTCTCAGATTTCTCTATGTCAGTGCAGAAGCGATGTGTATGGCAAATGCAGCAGTATTCAAATCACCTGCAGAAAATGCTTGTCTTGGCCATCTCAAGGATGAAATCAGGAATCCTCAACTCATTCATTTTGGTTTGAGACTTCCCTTGGGCACCTGGCATAATCCACAGCATTAAAAGAAGCCCCTTTGCTTTCTCACCCCTTTGACATACCACTCCAAATATGTGGGAGATGTACTGCATGCCAAACTGCTGGCTCTGGGCTGGCCAGAACTCCAAGAAGCTTTCCACATCGATACGGAGGTCCTTCTTCTCCTCCTCATCGAAGTTCTCCACGTGGTTTTGCAGGTCATCAATAGACACCAGGCAGTTCTCCGACAGCCCACTGCCTTCTCTCTCTATCCTCCACAGGATGCGGGCTGCCAGCCTGGCCAGGAGAGATCCCAAGGTGCTAGCACCATGCAACGCCAGACCCTGGTGCTCGTCTACTCAGGTTCTCATGCTCTTCCACCCAGCACAAGGACAGGGACTGAAGGGCCACCAAAATTCATTCATCAGTGGGACACTGTGTGCAGCCAGGCCATACGAGACAAGTTCAGCATCAGCTGGCTTATGGCTAGTCCCCATCCAGGAGTTTTGAAGGGAAGGAAGACACAGGGGTTTCCCATGGCATCTATGTTCTTATCTGGAGAAGTCATACAGAACCCCAGCCCTGGACAGCTTCTTCTATTTCTGTGGGGACTCCTATCATTTTGTTACTATGGAGCCAGGACATAAAATCAGTAGATACTGGAGCATCCCTGCTTTTCCCACTGAAACTGTGAAAGGTGGCTTTTCTCATTCTGCTGCTGTAGGGTTTTGGGTGTCTAGCACCAAACAAAAGCAGGAGCACAACCCCCTCACACTGGGCATTCCTCCAAACCCCAGCCTATGAGCTCAGGGATGTTTGTGGCCTTCCCCAAAGCAGTTCCCACCATCACACATCTAACTCAGGACACCCAGAGGGATTTCCTATCCTCTCCCATCATTCCCCCGCCCGGTGGTGCACCAGACAGCCAGGCTGTGGGCTCAAGTCCTCGGGAGCCACTCTCACCTGATGTTCTCGGTGGGTGCCTTGCCGTGCTTCTTGATGGCAGAGCACTCATTTTTGTGGTTCAGCCAGGCATCTCTCTGGCAGGTTCGGTCACAGTAGTAGGCGAACTTGCACTGGCCGCAGCGATGGAGCTTCTCCTGCCGTTTGAAGCAGGTGTGGCAGACTACGTGTGTCAGGCTGGAAAGACAGAAAGTAGGCTTATGCCTCAGTGATAGAATCATAGAGTCGTAGAATCATTAAGATTGGAACAGACTGATAAGATCACTGAGTGCAACTCCAACCCATCCCCACCATGCCCACTAACCCATGTCCCTCAGTGCCACATCTACACAGGTTCTTGAACTCCTCCAGGAGCAGTGACTCCACCATCTCCATGGGCAGCCTGTGCAAATGCATTACCACTCTTTCAGAGAATAAATGTTTTCTAATAACCAACCTGAACCTCCCCTGGCACTACTTGAGGCCAGTACCTCTCACCCTATTGCTGTTACCTGAGAGAAAAGGCCGACCCCCACCTCGTCACAATCTACTTTCAGGGAATTACAGAGAGCAATAATATCTCTCCTGAGCTTTCTCTTCTGCAGACTGAACCATCCCAGTTCCATCAGCTGCTCCCCATAAGACTTGTACTCCAGATCTCTCACAGCTTCACTGCCTTTCTATGGACACACATCTCTCAGTAGTGAGGGGCCCAAAACTGAACTAAACTTGAGATGTGGCCTTACCAGGACCATATACCAGGGGACAATCACATCCCTGCTCTGGCTGGCTATGCTACTTCTGATACAAAACAGCATACCATTAACCTTCTTGGCCAGCTGGATACACTGCTGGCTCATGTTCAGACAGCTGTCAACCAGCACTCTCAGGTTGCTTTCCTTTGCACAGCCTTCCAGCCACTCTGCCCCAAGCCTGTAGCATTCCATGGGGCTGTTGTGACCAAAGGGCAGGACCCAGCACTTGGTCTTTTTGAACTTCATACAGCTGGCCTCAGCCGAGTGATCCAGCCTATCCAGATCCCCCTGGAGGGCCTTCCTACCCTCAGGCAGACTGACTCTTCCTCTAAACTTGGTGTCATCTGGAAACTTAGGGTAATGGCTACACTCCTTCAGGCAAGGGTCCTTTCAGCTTTCTGTCCATGGGCTCCTCCTACACACTGTGATGGAACCTCAGACATTCTGGGAGGATGGACAAACATCCCACCTAGCTTAATCCTCATACACTTGTCTGATGCTGTTGCTTCCCTATTTGGCTATGTCAAAGAGAAAAATATTTTGTTTAAAGGAGGAAAGCAATAAACCATTCCCCAGCTCTCAGCCCTCTTTCCTGCAGTTTGTCTGCTCCTTCTCAGCACCACTGCTGTTAACAGGATTTTCAGTCTGGTTTTGTTTTCCGTCTGGCCCATGCTGAGCAGAAAGCAGACGTCTAATGGGTCTGTCACTCAGTAGAATAAGAGCAATGTCAAGGCAATGAGCCAGCCAGTGCTTCACCTGCTTGCAAAGCCTCCGAATTTGGCTGAATTGAAACCCCTCCAGAGGGGTTCTGTGTAGGGCCTGGAGCAAAAAAAGGAGCAGTGACCACCACAACACCTGACAGACTTAGGAGAAAATGGTTGAGAGGGGTGAGTATGATTCTGTGTGGTCCTGGCTGCTATCTCAATATTTATTTAGGCACAGTCATACTGTAGGGATAAAAATACACACAAGAAATGCTCTGATAATCAGCAGACTGGAGGTGTACCACAGTAAAGAAGACTGATGGATAGAGGTGGTTATATAGGGAAACCCTGCATTTGTGCTGCTTGAAACAAAGTTATTTTTCTATGAAGTAAAAGCAGCTTTGCTTGACACTTCTTTCTGCCTCTGGACCTAAACTGCATCTGTGTTGGCAGACCTGCATTTGGTATTATGTTGGAAATGACATAAGAAAGCCAAGAAAATATCCTCCTTCAAGGTAGATCTCCTCATCATGAAGTCTTCTCTTGTATGTCTTCTCCTCCCTTCATCAGACACAGCATGTATCTCGGCTGTCTAACACCAGGTGACACCAGGCTGGGTGACTTTGGGGCTCTCCTGATCCCAAGGATTCCAGAAAGATGCTTAGGATGGACGAAGGGCTGAGGAACCCATTCAGCCAACCCCAAGCACAACTGCCCAGCTTGAATGGAATTTCAGCTGCCTCAGGGACAGACAAACAACACCAAACAGTTAAGGACAGAAGAAAGCTGACCTCCGAAGTGCTCATATAGCACCATCTGGGATAGGACATGGGGCAGACTGACTGTAATACCAAGTTTAGGAGCTGTAATTGTGCTTATGAACACTGTAAGATTTTATTAATAAATCCAAGAGGGTTTTTATATTCAAAAGGGCAATATGGTGCTGAGCTGAGAATACTGATGATTTAGTGCTTGTTTCAACATATGGCACCCATGGGGATGCTGTTAAACAGCGAAGTAACAAGGGCAGTCCCTGATGTGGGGATGTGCTCTGCTCTGTTTACTCTGACATTAGCTTTAGCACCGTGCTCTTTAGGTCACTTAAAGCTGTCCAGCAGACAGGCTACCAGTGCAAATTCCTCCTTCCAGTCTAAAGGTCTGATGTATCTCTGGTGCCAGCAGCACTAAGTGGTGCTCACCAGCTATTCCTGTTCCTCACTCTGTGGTTTACTGTGAGCTGGATGAGCACAGCAGGGAAACAGCTTTCAAAAGCATGTTTTCTCTTTGGGGACTTCAGAAAAAGATTTCCAAAAAGCATCCTACCATTGCATATACATAACTATAACCAAGGGTGAGGAATATATCAGAGGATACTGATGAAGCCCAATTTGATATCCACCTTCCAGGAGTGCCCAGGGTCTTGGACCCCATGTGCCTTGTCTCACGTGTGCAGTTGCTTACTTGTGTGGCCCATTTCAATGGGGAGGAGAGGGAGACCTTTTGGGATTTTGGCATTGCTGCACCAGCAGGCTTTTTTTCCCCAGCAGTTTTCTTCTCCAGGCAGCTGCACGCTCCTCTGCTTCCAGCCAGGCTCAACAGCATGAGGGAATTAAAATTCCTACTGCTCAGACAACGCTGTGTTTGGGGGAAGATCTCCTCATTGCAGAAATCTCACTGACCCCACAGAACATGATCATTGCCCACAGCAAGGAAACAGGCATGGGGAAGAAAAAAATGAGTCGACAGTCACAAGAAAAGACTGTGCCACAAGTAGGAATCACTCCCATAGTCACAGGACTGTCTTGCCTCTTCCCCTACATAAATACACATATATATATAAAAACACGTGTGCATGTTTATTTCTATCCCAGTACATTTAAATGCTTTTTCATTCCTCTGGCACTACTGCCTGAGCTACTGGAACCACCCACCCTGTGTGTTGGCTCAGGCAGGATGGAGAGGCTCACTGATACAAAGCAGGTTGATTTGCAACAGGCAACACCACGTGCAAAAATGAGGTTTGGAAAATGACAGCAAGCAGTGCTGGTTCAGGGGAGCGAGCCCAGTGCAAGGCAAGCAGTCAGCATGGAGAAAGAGGGAGTGCATGTACATGGAGGGGGATGCAGCCAGCTCTATTAATGCAGATGAATAGCTGGGAGGTGGTGAAAAATGCAACACTGCGCTCTGTCAGCTGTCAAGTCAGGGGGGCAGAGGTGCAAGAGAGATTACATTCCTTGTAAGGCAAAGGAGAGACAGAGAGCTGATAAAACCCACATGGTTGTGTTGTGCAGTGAAGCACAGAGAGATATCTCACACAGGGAATGGGGCACCCTTCTGCTGCTTGCCTGTTTTGAAGGCAGAGAGAAAGTGAATGGGAAGCTAAAGAAGCTTCCCTGCACTGAGGAATAGTAGGGTGGGTGTGAATACAGTGCAGCAGAACACCAGTTCTGAAGCAGTTCATCTTCCCAGCTCCCCCAGAAGCAAACAAAAAAACCCAACAAAATGCTGGCTGCAGATAGAATTATTCAGTAGTCTGAGTAGGTTGACAGGCATAAAAAATACCTTGTTTTTCACAAAACTCTCATGGGATCCTCAGAAACGGTTGGAAAAAAAAAAAAAGAAAAAAGAAGACTGGATGTATTAATAATACACCAGGCCTTCAAAGGCCTGTGCTTAACTGTTGGTGCTATAAAAAAAATGGAAAGACACGAATATTTGAGATCAATTGCCTAAATCTTCAACAAACAGCACTCAGCACTGACTGCAAGTCTGACTGCAAGCCCTTAAATTACCCAAGAGTCCTACAAGCTCCTGTCCTTCCAGAGAGCCAAATGCCCCAAATGGGGATGGAAAACTGGGTCGCCCTTTGGCCCAGGAATGAACATTATGACAGGTTCTGATACCTGTATCACAGAATCACAGAATCACAGAATTGTAGGGGTTAGAAGGGACCTCCAGAGATCATCGAGTCCAATCCCCCTGCCAAAGCAGGTTCCCTACACCAGGTCGCACAGGTGGGCATCCAGGCAGGTCTTGAACATCTCCAGAGAAGGAGACTCCTTCAGTATGTTTGCAGGTAGACAACACCAAAGACTTGCAGTGGTCCACAGTATCTCCTGCAGTCACCTCTGCAATAGTTAAGATCCTCCAAGGACACGGAGTTAAACCCAAGTCTCTCAGCCTGTGGAAAACATTGGTTTATAAGACCTTGTCTGTGTCAGTGCTGTGTCAATGTACACTGCAGTCCCTGGGGTGATCTCCAGCCACTCATCCACCACCTCTGTGTGTTCATGTGGTGGAAACTGTGAGTCTGTCTATTTTTTTTTTCTTAATCCTGGCCAAAAGCAAGATCTTCATTAGCACAGTGATTTCTTCAGCCCATCTCAGTCTTGCCAGGTCAGGGATTTAGAACTGACCTCAGGGGCAGATGCCACTGATTGACTCACTAAATGACTCTATGAGGAGCCTCAGGTTTCCTCAGCCTCTGCTCCAAGTGTCAGCTAAGTTGGACTCTGAGGGGCTCATGAACTCTGCTGTTACGTGGATGAGATGTACAACCACTGCTATTCCTGGACATAGCTACTGTCACAAAAGCAGTGATTCAATATGCCAGCCAACTAATGCAAGAGGTGACAGTGCTGTCAGCTAAACCACGGCTCCCACAAGCACAGCTCTCAGTGAAAGCAAAAGAAGCTAATAGCTCTAGCGACTGCTTGGACTGGATTCAGATGGATTCAGATCTGTAGGACCTGCCAAGACAGAAGGCTGAGTACTGCCGCAGGAAATACACTCACCTCATCTTTGAGACATGCACAACCTAAACATCAGGCAACCATTTCCCACCCAGCCCCCAGAGCACCTCATTCACTGGTTTGAAAAAGCAAGCTGAGATGGCTGAACTGCAAAAGAATAAAGGAGGATTTCACTGAATAGCTACTGGAAGTGGTAGAATGATCAAAAGCCATTTGAAGTGAGTTTATTCCATTCTGTACAGGATACATGTCACACACAGATGATACAAACACCTAAGTTCACCTGCTCCGTTTCTGTTCCTGGCTGTCTTGGCATCCCTCTTCACAACAGCATACAGAGGATGATAGAATAGCCTAAGAAGCAGGCAAAGTGAATGTATTTGGGTCCCACTTCATACATCACTCATCAAGCAAATCTTCAAGCCATCTTAGCTTTCTACCACATGATACTGTTTGCTTTGACTGCTCTCTTTCAAATCCTACTAGTTAAAGAGCAAGCTCATAAAGAGAAAGTTGACAGAAATATATCAGGCTTCCCCAGGCCTTTAGGAAATAACTCTTATAAACTGGAGAGCTGGCGTACATGAGAAGGTCACATACTGTACATTGAGCCCAGGTGAAGGGAATGTCATCATCCTGAAGGTAGCTGTGAGGAAAGGAGACCTGAGATCTTCAAGGAGAAAGCGAAGAGGGAGGGAAGGATTAAACATTAGTACATAAGCAGAGCATGATAGTATGCTTTACTTAGAAGCATGCTTTACCAGGCATGCACAGTGGCTTTGCAAATTGTAAAAAGATCCAAAAGGGGCAAATAATTCCTTGAGAAAATCTGTTATTTCCAACTTTCTGCATCTATTTGGGGGAAAGAGAAGTTGATGCTGATTGGCATTTTCTGAGTGCTATTTGAGCTCATTACAGCAAGGCTGATTCAAGCACAAATCAGAAAGTTTGTTCACACACCCGAATAGCAAAACACAGGAGATCACACTGAGATCTGCCCCTGCTTTCAATCAGTATTCACCATTTCTCCCATCAGGCGGTTCTAGTTCGGGTAGAAGCAGTGGGCTTGATGTGTTAGTCAGTGCCAGGAAACCACAGTGTCAAGTAACATGTTAGCTTCAATATGAGGTGGCTGATGTCTTTAGAAACCTTAGCTTCTCTTTGAGTTTCCTGTACTGTTGGATCAGAGGTCTCTGGCATCATGTAAAAGCTGCTGCTCAGATGACCTTCACTGGGTTGAAAAGTACACGTCCCCGTTAGCCTAAATGACTTCAGTGACTTTCAGGGGTTTGTTTCCTGAGTGGGATGCAGCTTACATGTTTGGACACCTCATCTGTGCCCTGTGTTAACTAGAGCTCCAGTCAAAACACCCAGTATGGTCCGGAAAGCAGTTCTGCTCACTGTGGTGGTGTCAGCCTTCCATGCACATTATTGAGCTCCATTGACTGTAATGGGCACTTGGGGCTGGATTGACTTTGCCTGCACATAGGAGCCTGATGTTATTTTAAGCTCTGCAGGGACTCTCATCTGCCCTGTAATGTTGTTCCAGAGGAGACCTGATTCTCATAAATCCCCATTTGTACCTGTCAGCCCTAAGAGGATGTCTCAGACAACCCAAAGTGAACTGCTAGACAAGGCTCCACATTGCCCTGTAGGAGGATCCACTTAAATTGTCTGGTCTTATTTGCGCAGAGTATAATGGCTGGTTATAAAGTTTTTTCAAAGAAGGTATTTTTCCTTTTGCTTTCAAAACAAAATTCTCAACACCTCCTCAAACTCATTCTCCTAATAGCAGATATTCATGCAGTGCAGTTGGTGACAGCCTCAGGTTAAAACTGCTTCTGCAATTTCTTGCATCAATATGTAATCCTGCAGTTTCCAGCAGGTGGCTTTCCCCACTGTGTGGCAGAGTAGTGCCTCTGCATAACTTAAGTCCAAGTGTAATTTATCCTCACTTTCTGCTGTGAAGTACTATATTTAACACTTTCTGTTCTTCACCAGCTCGAATGGTCATCAGCTTTTCTGGGTCTCCAGCATTTCTTCATCGTCTCCTGTCGCAAACCAGTTTCATACCTGTGCACAAACACAAGCTGCTTTCCACCCTATGGTACTGCCACATGAAGAAAACAGTGTTGTACCTCTGAAGAGCTGCTCCAATGAATCTAGAAAAGATGCCTTCACTTTGCCTGCTGTTGCCACAACACATGCAGTCACATAGAAGATCACAGTGTGGTCATTACAGTATTATGGCCATCCATATTAATCACAGCACAGCCAGATGCAGGTTTTCAGTGGTTCAACATCTGCACCATGACCAGACTTCCCATAGAACGGAGCTTCTAAAGTCGTTGCAAGGTACAGACCAAATTTTCAAATTACCCTGCACTCCTGTGCTTCCATGGTCGCCTTAATAGATGCAGAAAGTTGAGCTCTGTGGAAAATCTCATTACCTGTTTGCTGAGATCTGAGCTGAAAAATTAAAGCTACCAGTCACTCATATTTGAATTCCCTTTCCATAATTCACATACTCACTGCTTTTAGCAAGACACTAAGATGCTGAGTACTAGAAGGATCCAGGCTATCCTTCAAGAGCAGTCAGCTCAGTGGAGCTACATGCAACAGTTACATGCCACTTGGACTGTGGTAGAAGGCACCTTCAAAACCAAAGCCCCACAAGTGTGTGAAAAACATCAGAGCAGTTTTCACAAGCAAAACGCATGTTTACATTGCTAGGATACCCCTGCTGAGCACTAACCAGCAAACATTTAACTGGCAACATCTGCCTCAGAGAGTTTGGGAATTTCACCACTGACACATATGAAGTACCTAGGGATGAAACATGCCACGGGAGGGTAAGAGTCAACTACTATTGCACGGGAGCGTGAAGAAGCAGCAGAGAGATAAGAATGACTGAACCCATTCCCATGCTCTGCAGTCCCACAGATGTGTTTATTTAACCACTTTCATGCTCTGGGACTTAAATAAACACAGCCTGGGGAGGGAGGGAAGCACAGCTCTGCCCGCCCAGTGTCTCTTGGAAATCTACACTGACTGCAGCCTGGACTGCTCTCCTATATGCACGATGCTCACAACATTTCCTGTAGAAGAAAAAAAGTCAACCAGCAAACAAAAGGCAAAATGTTTTCAATGCTCAAATTAGTATTTTTAATAGGGTGTATGAGAGAAGTCATTATCCATAGGAACGTCTGAATAAAACACAGAATCCAGCAAGTGGCACAAATGAAACTAAAGTATGAGAGCTAAGAGGGCACGTCAAGGAGAGGTGGTTTTGTTACTAACCACTGTAATTGAATACAAGGTTAAGAATTCAAGAACTAAACATTAAAAAAAAGACCACTTAAATTGTAAGTTCCTATAATTGTATACATTCACAAACATGTTCATTCACCAGCCACATAATGGCAAGGAAAAAGTGAGTGAAAGACATAAAAAATCTTATTCCTTGTTCTGTCCATTTATCCTCAATTCTCTGCTGTTGCCAGATCATATACGAGCACAAATCAGCTTCAGTTGCAGCACTTAACAGGGAGGATGACCAGCATTGAAACAAAAATGTTTTGGTTTAATTGTTTGAATCCTAGACTTTGTTAGCAGAACTGATTCAATCAGAGAAAGCTCAGCTAGCAAAGCTCTGCCCTGTTTAATTCTCTAAAGCCACTGGCAACATGGGGCAAAACTCAGCTTCAGAGCTGGTGCCTTCAAGGAGTGCTCACAAATTTCCTAAGCCCAGAATGTCAGCTGACATCTAGCTCTTCAGTTAAAACGTTTGGGACAAATTCTATTCTCAGATACTGCATTATAAGGCTGGACAAATCCCATTTATATCAGAGGCTCTACACTAGGTTTATTCCGCAGGAGGTTAACATAGAAGTTGGTTCTTTGTGTCTTTTAGCTTTCAGGCTATTTAAATCAATCTTCCACTAATATGAAGGGCAGAAGTAGGCACCCACAGGCTGCTCTGGCAGCACAGGCTGATCAAGTGCTGTTCACCCTTGAAATAAGCAGCAGAAAAGAAAAAGGCATCTGCACCGAAATTCAGTTTCTGGCTGTATCAGTATGAACAAAAAGTTCAAATTGCTCCTGTCTAAGAGTGAAAGTAGAAACTCAACTTCTGTTAACTTAGCTAGTTATAAACATAAAACTACTTAAGGAGAAATAACACCACTTGTAGATCTTCCAGTTTGAAGACAGCTGCCTGTGGAGTTACACACGCAGCTCTGGGTGGTGGCACACATGAGCAAAACACAGTGTAACTCACTGTTATCACACATTATACGTTGGAGATTTCAGCAAAGTGTCTGAGACTGCTCTCACTGAACTACATTTACTCCTGCAACTCAGTGGAATGTAGCATGGGTCCAGTTTTGTGCGGCACTGAACACACGCAACTTTCATTGCATTTGGCAAAAGCAGGCAGAATCGAGCACCTTGCAAGCTCACATCCTGAAAACAGATTGTGCCATGTATATAAAGTGAGAAAACAGCTCTGAGCCCTGGGAATGATATCACTGTAAGCTGGGAGTGCATAAGTACAAAAGTGTTTCTAACTTCCCTTCGCACCCCTCTTGATGCTGTCCAGACACTTTCAAGCTTTCACCCACCCAGCCAGATGAATTCTGCATTGAGATGACTTCTGAACTCTGTTTCACAAGTCCTTTTCTCTTACCTATCAAAAACCACAGCAGCGTAGGCTGGCTCTGCAAAGATGACATCTCCGGGCAAGAATTCCTTCTGTGCTTTCAAGCCCCTGCCTTTGCCTTCAGTCGTGAACACTTCAACTGATTCCATTCCCCCTCTGGTCATTCCCAGGTATGAGCAGTGAGCCAAATCTTCTGTCACCCTTGTCAACTTCGCCTTGCCACAAGACCACGTTTATAAAAGGGCTGCCCTACCCCCACCCCCAGCTGCACCGTATCCCATAGGAGGGAGAGGGGGTGGGAGCACGAAAGGCAGGAGGAGATCTTCCACGCACTATTGCCGACCTACACAGGGCCAGGTCTTCTGTTTCTTAGGAAACCCCCTCCAAAAAACACATTTGGAATTGTTTCTCCCAGCCACAAGTAGTTGTGTATGTTAGGACTCAGACAAATTTATACTCTCCCATTGGAGAGGGAATGTATTCTCTTTGCAAGGGTATTTTTAGCAACCACATGCTTCTGTCTCTCAGGAAGCAACAGCTGAGACAGTGGGATAGGGAGTGCTGGTATGTGTATTTTTGACCCCTTTCACTGTCATCTGGCTTTTTCCAGAAATTAAACAATGCTGCTTTATTTTTACCTTCTAAGAGATGGACGGTGTGTTTAGAGGCAGGGAGAGCAGCGAAACACGTGCCCTGCAATCCTCTGCCTCTTCCATTGCCACTGGAGCCTGGAAAAGGAGCGTCACTTCCTAAACATTAGCAGCAAGCACACAGAGCAGCGTGGAAGGAGCTGGAAGAGCAGCAGTGGTTTGGCACGAGCTGCAGAAATAAGAAGGACATTTAGATATTTGCACACTTCTGGATGCAATAAATACTTTGAGATTACAAAACATTTGAGGGCTTCTTACCTCCAACACTGGAAGAGATGACTCAAGGCCAAGATGGATGTGGCTCTGGGCAGCCTGGTCTGGTGGTTGGTGACCCTGCACATGGCAGGGGGTTGGAACTGGATGATCATTATGGGCCTTTTCAAACCAGGTCATTCTATGATTCTATCAGAGAATTTGCCCCACTCTAATGTAAAAGGGGGATGCAGGACAACCCGAGAGAACCCAGTCCCTTGCTTTGTCTTCTGTCCCCAGCAGGCAGTGTATGTAAAAAGGAAGGCTTCCACATACAGCAGTTAATCTCGCTATAGAAATTGATCCCAGTTTAGATTTTCATTTAGCTTTTATGTTTTTTTCCTCTAATAGCATTTTGTGAGGCTGGTTCTTGGCCATCTCAGCTTCCCACTGCTGGGAAACCTGATTGTTTCCTTCTGGAAAAGGAAGCAGATACAGATACGCCACACAGATGTCATTATTTGCTCTTCTAACACCTCTTTGCTGTACAGAAAAACAGAACAGATTAACAGGGAAAGCGAGGCACAGGGAGGCAAAGAGGATAACTCTTGTGCATCGCTTGGCTGTAAAAGAAATGTTTTGCCTAGCCAAAGACACAGGAACTATTGCTGTCCACTTCAAGACAGTCTCCGAACTGCTTCGCATCTCTGAAAAGCTTCTGGCAAATTTCCTTTCCTGCAAATGAAGTACTGCACTTCAGTTCCATTATCCTGAGTTACAGTCTGCCTGAGCGTGCCGAGCACAAACAATATCAATCCACAGCTCTATGGACTCAGGATGATCCAGGTGCTCATGTGATTATTAGCAACATTTCCTTAGAACCGCACGACTCCAGCTCCCACTGAGGCTGACAGAGCTGGCTGCACGAACCTCCTCATATTTATTCTGTGCGGTGCATACAAATCAGCAGAAGCAATCAGCCGCTGAAAGCAGTCTGACTTTTAATTGCAGCAGTATTTTGGTATCACGTCCAGATCTTTCAGCGCCACAGAGCACGGGCGGCGATGCGGGCGCTCTGGGCGGGGCGCGGGGCGGGCTGCGCGCCCTGAGGGGAGGCGGAGGGCGGGCCGGCCGTGCAGGGGGTTTAACCGGCCCTCAGGATGAAGCGGCGCTGGGCTGGGCCGTGGGAGGAGAGCGCTGAGATGTGCTGGCCCTCAGAGCTCAATTGTAGCCGGCCCTGGCCCGCGAAGAGGCTCCGAAGGCGGCAGCCCCAAGGGCGAGGTGAGCGGCGGCGGCGGGGTTCGTGTGATCGCACCCGCCGTCCCAGGGGCTGTAAGTGAGGGTGCGAAGCTCCGTGTGGAAAAGGCGAGGCTCTGAGCCAGCTGTCACCCACAGGACCCCCGTGTGGAGGCTGCCTCACATGTTGGGGTATCCATCAGTGTGTTACAACCTTGTGTATTTCATTTCCAGCCTCAAATCTCTGCCCTGTGTAAGCTAGATGTGTAACACACCGCTCTCTCAAGATCCTGCTGGAAGAGAAGCGGCTGTTTCGTGTCCTCCCTGCAATACGCATCGTGATGGTGGAAGTGACAGGAATGCACTTGTGCTGTTCCCTCTGTGAAATGTGTGATGTGTTCCCTTTTGTGTGATGCCCGTAGCTAAAAGTAATGAGAATTTGAACCCAAAGCAGAAATTAACGAGCAAAGTGCAGTGGGAGACTTGTCTGTGTCCCAGGTGTGTAAGAGCAGGTAAGGTGTCTGACAAGTCCAAAGTCGCTCTGAGATCTTAAAAGCTGGCCTTCAGTTCTTCAGAAAGTTTCTTCATAAGCCAACGTCATACTTCCGAGAGTAGGCTGCCCAACAGGGTACTTTCATACCTCGGATCTGTGACAGAGCTCTGAAAATCAATCTTGCAGATGGAAAGTTCCTGTCACATCTCAGTTCCATGTCCTCTCCTTCCCAAAAAATCTGTGGGATGTCATCCTGCTAAAGATCTAGCAAGTGGGGTGAAAAAGGTGCTGAGCTTCCAGGAATATCAAATCATTCATAATGGGTATACACAGTATTTGTGTTTTGAAAGGCTTTAGTTCGTGCTTTTAAGCACTGACTGTTCGATTCATAGAATCGTTTGAGTTGGGAATGACCCTTACAGGCATCAAATCCAGCTCCCCTGCAATGAACAGGGACACCTGTGTAGCTAGATCACAGTGCTCAGAGCCCCATTCAGCCTGACCTTGAGTGTCTCCAGGGATGGGGCATCCACCACCTCTCTGGCAACCTGTGCCAGTGCTTCACCAGCCTTACAGTAAAAATCTTTTTCCTCATATCCAATGAGGAATCTCTCATCCAATCTCTTCTCTTTTAGTTTGAAACAATTCCCCCTTGTCCTGCCACAACAGATCCTGCTAAAGAGTCTTCTTTCTTATAGCCCTCCACACACTTTAGATACTGAAAAACACCAAGCCAGCCTAAATAACAATGCATAAACATGGCCTTTTGTGAAATATTTGAAACATCCATTAACAACAGATTTCCCCACTGTCAGTTAAATTTAGTAGTACTCTGTTGAACAGAAGTAACTCCAGAGGAATTAATCACTCTTAGCTTAAAAATTGACAGCTATTTTAAGCAGCCGGCTTTTTGGGGGGAAAAAAGCTGCACAAGTATGTATACTCAAAGGGACAAGTTATGAACATGCTCTTGTTATGGTTAGGTTTAAATTCATTTTTTCACTTACACTTTTTGAACTGAGTTGTCATGTTTCTGAACTTCAGAATATTTTGAGCCAGACACAGCAAGGATCCCTGGTTATATACATACATATTTCATTCATGGCCAGGCTGGATGTGGCTCAGGGCAGCCTGGTCTGCTGGTTGGTGACCCTGCACATAGCAGGGGGTTGAAACTGGATGAGCATTGTGTTCCTTTTCAACTCAGGATGTTCTATGATTCTATGATATGATTCTATCATTATATGGTTGCCACTTCATAGAATCATAGAATCGTAGAATCATAGAATCATAGAATCACCCCGGTTGGAAAAGACCTTAAAGATCATCAGGTCTAACCACAACCCAACCACACTACCCTAACTCTTACAACCCTCTGCTAAATCATGTTCCTGAGCCCACATCCAAATGGTTTTTATACACATCCAGGAATGGTGACTCAACCTCCTTCCTGGGCAGCCTATTCCAGTGCTTAACAACCCTTTCTGTAAAGAGGTTTTTCCTGATATCCAATGTAAACGTCGCCTGGCGCAACTTGTGGCCATTTCCCCTTGTCCTGTCACCTGTCACCAGTGAGAAGAGACCAACCCTGCTCTCACTGCAATCACCTTTGAGGTGTTGGAAGAGAGCAGTAAAGTCTCCCCTCAGCCTCCTCTTCCCCATACTAAACAGCCCCAGTTCCTTCAGTCTCTCCTCCTAGGGCTCATTCTCCAAGCCCTTCACAGGCCTTGTTGCCCTTCTTTGGACCTGCTCCAGCACCTCCATGTCCTTCCTGCAGCAAGGGACCCAAAACTGAACACAGTACTCAAGGTGAAGCCTCACCAATGCCGAGTACAGGAGCAGGATGACTTCCCTCGTCCTGCTCACCACTCCATTCCTGGTCCAAGCCAGGATGCTATTGGCCTTCTTGGCCACCTGGGCACACTGCTGGCTCGTATTGAGCTGACTGTCCATCAGTACACCAAGGTCCCTTTCCATCAGGCAGCTTTCCAGCCACTCTTCCCCAAGCCTGTAGGGTTGCCTGGGGTTGTTCTGACCAAAATGCAGGACCTGACACTTGGCCCTGTTGAAACTCATACAGTTAACCTTGGCCCATCGATCCAGTCTGTGCAGGTCCCTTCATACCTATGCCAAACAGAGCTATGATGTGAACATCACTGAAAATTTCTGGTTTTATATACTTGTTAGGGGAAGGAGGGGAGGTATTCATTTCTTAAATACAAAACTAGAAATAATTTTTGGCCTTGGAAATTTTCTATGGCAACGTTTTTTGCTAATTTGTTTGCACACCCAGATGCTTTTAAAACACATATTTTTTTAGGGGGGAAGGATGTTTTTTTTTTTTAAGGGGTTTCTTTTGGCTCAGTGGCAAGAAGGTATGAACACTGGATACCTATAAATGTACAGTTAATCTGTAGTTTACAACCACACTTTTTCAAGATTCAATATGTAGCACATTCTCATGCTATCTCCCTCCTTTTGTATTCTGCAAATCTTCATTCTCTGCATACAAGATGGGGGAAAGGTATTTGTTAGGAGACCCAAGGAGCAAATAGGGAAATAGGGCTGCTGTCTTGTGGAAATAAGTCAATACCTGGCAAGGAAACTAACAGCTTATCCTGCAGTAGTTAATTAATCTAATGGTAATGTTACTTTAAGAGAAACCAGCCTCCCCATATAGACTTCAGTCAGCTTTCTGTTGTGCCAATTAACATCTTGATTGCCTTTGAATGAGAGCAGCTGGGTTTAAATATGCCCATGGAAATTTTTAAAAGTAATAGTAACATCAGTATGTTCTCTGAAATTCTAAGCTTTTGGTTTTGTTTGTTAGCTTGCTTTGAAACATCAACTCACTT